CTGCTCAGGAGAGGTGGGCCCCCCGCATGGCATCCAGCCCCCCTGCAACAGCAGCCATTGGGTGCTCAGGGCTCACTGCTGGCAGAGCCCCCCTGTGGCAGAGCACAGCCCTGGCAGCCTCAAACCCAGTGCTGCCTGTGCCACACGTTGCGGGCCTGGCTGACCCTTGAGCTCTGCATCTTTATGCAGGACTGAGCTACTGCTGCTGTTGGCCAGGGTCCTGGCACCGCATGCAGGGGTCATGCATCAGGTCAGGCCGAGTTCTGTCTCCAAGTGCCCTGTGCACTGTTGGACTGGACCAGCTCCATGGAGGCAGGACCCAGACTGGCACGATCTATGGCCTCTGCTTGCGGTGCTGGGACCCCGGATGACAGCAAGAGGGGTATGGTCCTGGCCAAAGGTGCACAGCCCTGGGCCAGGCTGGTCTCATAACATGTGGTCAGGCAACGCTGGGTCTAAGGTGGCTGGGGCCGTGCCATGTAATGGGAGCTCTGCCAGCAGTGGACCCTGAGCACCTAATGGCCACTGCTGCTGTTGAGGGGAAAGGGGGACTGTGAGTTGTGTGGGTGGGCTGTGCACATTGCAGGGGGCTGGGCAGGGGACCCACCCCTCCTGAGCAATCCTCCCCACCCTCACACAGTACCCCCACACCCACAAACCCCCCACAATTCACCCACAAACCCCACACCTCCACCCATGAACCCCACACCCACAAACCACCCACCCACCCACATACCCAGCCACAAACCCCAAATCCCTGCACAAGCACCATACCCCCCACAACTTCCCACAACCCTGCCCCAAACCCAGGCCCACCCCCCACCCCTGCACAAATCTTACACCCTGAACACCCAGCTGGCCACATGGGATGGGACAGGAGCTGCAGTTGCAGAGGTAACTGCCACACTGCAGCCCTGCCCCATGCCCACACCAGTGCTAGGAGATGCAGCCCCAGCCTGGGGGTGCTTCTGGTCCCAGGAGTCACTTGGGGGTGTGATGGGTTGGGAGGAGGGGTGGAGGTGGCAGCAGGTGTGTGTGCGTGTGTGAGAGAGAGAGAGAGATGGAGGTCAGTGGTAGGGGAGCGCTCTGGGTAGGAGAGGCTTCCAGAGCCAGGCTTAGAGCTCCCCTGCCCCCTAAAGCAGCCTGTGCAGAGGGAGGCTGGCCTGGAAGGGAAGGCACTTGCCTAGCCCAGTTCCCGAGCCCCAGTCAGGGACTTCCCAGGAATGGCATGGGGATCACTGGGGCCTGGGCACAGGTGCAAGAAGCAGAACAGCAAGGGCTGGCATTGCTCAGAGCCACAAAGCAGCGGGTGGAACAGCTGCATCTGGACTCATGCCTTGGTGCTGGGACAGAGCTGCTGCTAGGAGGGAGCTAGTGGTGGTGGACAGGGGCTGTGGGTCAGGAATGAGGGGCGCTATGGTGGGGGGAGGATGTGGGTTGAGAATGAGGGGCATGGGCAGGGGCAGGGAACTGGCATATCAGTGCTGCTCAACACCCCACATCCTGGTGAGTGAAGGGAGCAGGGGTAGCTCTGATTTTTCTATGATAAAAAAACCAAAAGCAAATGCCAAAGTGTTTAGATATTTAGAATTAATTTATTATGATTCTAGAGGCACCGGTAGGCTTCCAAATTGTTTAAAAATTGTAAATATATCAATAAAACACTGCTCAGCTGATCTCTTTATATATAGTGGCATTTCATTTTAATTACAGAAGAACACAGATTTTCAGTATTTTAATGAGAGAATTTATTTTTTTTTAATTAGAGAATTTGCAGTTTTTAAATGGGAAACACCAGGATCTTTGCTGGTGAGACAAGTGGCAAAACCTGGGCAGAGGAGCCTGCCCAGGGCCAGCACTGGGAACCAAGCTGGAGGGCAGACAAGGTGGCTGACCTGGCCATTTAGGGTCAGGAGGACACGCTTTGACAGTTCAAAGTGGGCCACTGCAACAAGCAGATCTTCTGGGTGATAGCTGCCCAGATGGCAGGGCGGGGGCACCAGAAGACATGACAGCAGTTCTGCATGAAGGCCAGCTGTGCAGACACAGCCCACTGGCAGCTGGCCCAGAACTGCAGGAGGCTCTATTGAAGTGCCCATACCACAGTCCAGACGACTGTGCAGTCCCTGTCTGGGTCTGGCAGGTGCACAGCCATGGGGCCACATGCTGTCACAGGTGGCAACAGGTCTTAGGCAGCAGCCCCTACTATCAGACTGCTGCAGTGGGTAGAGGGTGCAGGGGTCACTCTTAGAGCTGCTTCAGCAGTCCAGCTGGCACAAGGGGCTAGTGTCCCCAGATACCAACTGGCTGGGCCTTAGAAGCTCCTGTCTATTAGTAACACTCATACCATGGGCCCTAAGGCCCACCTGGCTAACTAGTAACCCTGTGTGGTGCTAATGAATGAGTGATACAACTAAATTCTGGGGACAACTAATGAAAAAAACAGGATAGGAGTGCTGTGTGGGTCAAAGGGTCAAAACTTGAAAATAAGTGCTCCTGAAGGGGACACCGAGCAGAGCCCCCTGGGTCCTCAAAGGCATCCAAGGAGCCGGTGGACATTGCCCACTAGTGCTCTGTCCAGAACCATGCTCGGAAAAGTGACAGGAAACTGGCCCCGCAGTCTCTGGGCACCTTCCTGGCCAGAGCCTCCTTCCTGGTCAAGTACAGGGCCCACTTGGCCAGGGCCAGGAGGAGGTTGACCAGGAGGTCCTGGGACTTGGTAAGGCTGTGGATGGGGTGACCAAAAACAAAAAGGTGGGGGGTGAAATTCAACTAGAAACTCAGGAGTCCAGGGTCTCCCTCTGCCCACATAAAGGGCAGGAGACCAGGCTGTCTGTGAAGCTTGCCACATACACACCCATGGCAACGGCTCTATGGAGGAGCTGCCAGCTGAGGTCCCCAGTGGCTCATGGGATGAGGGTGCAGTACAGATTCAGCCACTGGTGTGCCCCAGCCATGCCCTAGCCAAGCATGTCTTGCCACTTGGTGTCTGGGCGGGACGCGAGGGCAGCATGATGGATTGTGCAGCACAGGAGTGTGAGGAGATGGTGGCAATGGACATTGGAAAAATGGACTGGTCTGGTATCTTCCAGCCAGATCAGATGGTGGAGTGTAAAGTGTCATGAGTCTGGGCAAAGTGCCTGGTCAACAAGAACAAGGGCATTGGGAGGTAGGGCATATTTCACCTCCTGGACCAGACAGCAGGTCGCACATGTGGGTAGACCCATGCGCTGGGCCAGCACAGCCGGGTCCACCCTCTCCTTCCTATTGTAGTCCAGGAGGTCTCTGATATGGGTAACACCACCTCAGAAGCTTCTAAGGGCAAGTAGCTCCTGAGGGCAAGTAGCCCTGAGCTGCTCAGCAAGGCAGCTTTTTATACTACTGCGACTAGCACAGGTGCTGGCCTGTTAATGAGGAAGTTCAGTACATAAATCAGGGTTATTTTCTTTTTTCTTTTTACTTCAAAATTATGCAATAATATAGAATTGTCTCTTTGAAAATGCATACTTTTGCAGTTGCCCATAATCCAGTGCAAAAATACCCTCATATGTTTGGACAGGACGGAGGCGTTACATGGAGGTACATGGCCATAATTGTTTTCTTATTTGATCCAGTATTCATGTAGCACTTGTACATTTTTGGTTAGGTTTCATGACTTAATCTGTTTTTCACATGTGGACAATAAAAGAATACTGCAAATAGAATGTGACAGTTAAAAATTTTGAATATCTGTCTGTTTTGCAGGTGCAACCTTCCTCCTCTCTCCAGTGAATTCAGCAAAGATGTTGGATCAAAAACCCAGCTGGTGACTGCAAATCCCAGTATAATTCGGAAAAGGTAGACAGCGTGTTGTTGCTTCTTGTCTGAACTGGGGAAATGGCAAAGAAAATGTTTTTTTATGTATCCCAGACCTTGGTTTGGCAGAGATGCATTCATTAAAGACAGACAGGCCGCGTCTACAGGAGACACTGACTGTGCAGTAGCTCGTTACCTACTGTGCAGTAACGTCACATGGTAGGAAGCGTGATGCAATGTTACTGCACAGTAGTTACAAGCTACTGCAGTGAGCATCACCTAAAAGCCATTCGGTGAAGCTACGGTGCAGTAATGCTGGTTACTGCACAGTCATTTAGTACATGTGTATACACTGCATAGTTAGCATCTTGTGAAGATGCAGCCACAGTGTTGTAACCGTAGGGCAAGAATAAATAAGAATGGCTTGAAGAAAGGTGAAAGTAATCCAAGATGGAACTCTAATTGTAGCCTCATGGGGGTGGGGGAAATCACATTAGTTGCTAGAGTTGGCTGAAATTTTCCAAATTTTCAGTTTTTGATGATGGGGTAAAAAATGGGAAAGACTATAGATGCAATGTTTCCTGGTTTTTGACCAGCTCCATTATCACACAAAAAGTTGTAGGCCTTTATCAAGGCAAGTAATTGCTGCAACACTCACTGAAATGCAGCGAAGAGGAAAATGCCACAATCTAAGGGAAGAATGGCCAAATATAGAAAAAGTCTGATATCAATCTCATCAAGGAATGTGAAGAAAGAAAATTAAACCAATAATAGTAGGCAAGGGTAGCATTTGGAAGAAAGATGTACAAGAGATTATGGTGATACTTGATATCTTGCCTCCCTCCCCCTGTTTATAGGGAATTAAGGAGAGTTGCTGTTAGGGAAATTTTTGGAATAGGTGGATTCTGAAAGATTTTAAAAAAGAGAGATTGGTATTTGTCAAAAATATGGGACACATTCCAGGCATGGGAAATCTGAAATGATGGTGGCAACAGAGAGCAAAGGGAGGGGGGCGTAACTGGTTTAAAGCAGTACTGGCTTAGGATACTACCAGGTGACTTATGATGGGAGAGATGCAGAGAAATTCAGAGCACTGAAAGTGAGGATGAGAAGTTTAAAATTTCCATGGAAAATGCTACAAAGCTGACAAGGGGGTGTATAAACTGAGGTGGAATGGTCACAGTGGCAAGAAAAAAGGATTAGCTTTGCCACGGTATTCTACCTAAAATGAATTGTGTTGGCTAGCAACATGAATGTTATGAAGGAGGTTACAATAGTTGTCAGGTAATTATTAGACTGAAGTCAAAATGGTTGTTTAAGCGGTATGATAGAAGGCAGAGCAGGCATCTTAGAGAGACTTGTTTAGAGAGACATACACTTTCATTAGCAACAACCTACTTTCTCAGCTGCTAACACACACAGATAACTACTTCTCTTTAAGAAGTATGTTTAGGAAGGAGAAAGATAATTTTGTAAGAAAAATAACTGAGGGTATTTAGCAACATTCTGATCAAGACAGTAAAAAGGAAAAGAAGAATGCTAGAAAGCAATGAAGTTTCAGGAATGAGGAGTTAGAATGACGTATTATAAATGGAAATTGGAATGGAATGCAAGTGAAAGGCTGAATGAGGAGAATGAGAGAGAGGACTTGGCTTTGGAAGCTGAAGTGCAGCAGGAGGGGTAAGGGAAACTGAGAGGCATGTGAATGAGAGAGGAGGAGAGTTTGTATTGGAAAGGTCTTTTTATTTATTTATGTTTTAAATAGGGGGTTGGTAATATCTTAAGTCAGAAGAGGGGGCAAGAGTTATGTGGAGTGGGCTTGATGAGAGATCCAAAAGTGGTGATAGGGGTTGTGGATATGTCAGAAGAAATACAGCTATTTAATGAGGTAGATGGTAGGACAGAAGACAAATATACATGTTGAAAATCTGAAGAAATCTTTATATCTGTTTGAAAGCATGAGAGCTCTGAAACTAGTCAAGAGATTCTCCATCTTTTGCCAGTGAGTCCGGAAGGTTGGACAAGATGATCTCCTGAGGTTCCTTTCATACTTACCTTTCTATAGTTCTATGAAAGTCTAGTCCTATTTTTTAACCAGCTCTTCTTTCTGAATCATCAATGAAAATTGGGTTAAATATTATAAAGTACTTTATTGAACTTCCCTAGATACATTTTCCAAACTCACGATTTCACCTTCTGACTGTTTTATTAGAATGATCATAACTGTGCTATGGAGATATGTATGGGCCTCAAATGTAAATTACAAATCAAGTCTTCCATTTTTATAACAAATAGGGAATTTGATTTATTCTAGTCTATGGTTAAAAGCTTCTCCATGATGTTTAAATTTAGTTGTAGATTCAAGCTTCTATTAAATTCAAGGGCATTTAGATCAGTGGTTTTGATTAGGATCTGGCTCTTAAAGTCTAGATAACTAGCCTCAGCAAATGGAAGTTTCTACTCTCATTTTCATTCTTCTGATCTCTTTTTGCCCTTACTTTAAGTAGGTTGATATTGATGAGGCTTGACATCTTAATTTTTCTCTCAAGTATGTTATGGCAGATTTAGAGAAATTGATGCTGCAACACCATTTGCCCCTCCCGAAAAAGCTTATCCTAACCAGATAATTTATGGTTAGGCATATTGGACATGGCAGTGACTTAATTTCAAGTAGGTGCAAGCAAGTTTCTCTCTAGTGTCTCCCATAGTGCTGGAATATTTGCCATTAGGCCTGTTGGAATAGGAAAGTATTTGATTCAGATTCAGCCAATTTGGAAGACAGTGATTCAGTTTGGAGATTTGGATTGCTGTCCCAAATCGATTTGGCTGAATCGGTTTCAGATGATTCAGCGCTGATTCAGAGAGATTTGGTGATTCAGCCATAGACTATAATGGAGAATCACTGAAATACCTATAACTTTGTCATTTTTTTGGAAGATTTGGATGAAAACAACAGGGATGGTAGCCCCTTCTGAGGGCATGAAGCCTGCCAAGTTTCAAGGAGATAGGTGCAGAAGTTTCCGGGAAACTGCACCTTAAGGTGCTGACAAGCAAAGCTTGTGACGTGTGATTTTGTGTGTGTTAAGGCACAGCAGGATGAAAACAGCAGGGATGGTAGCCTGTAACAGGGGGCTTTCCTGGTGGTGAGGCAGGAACAACTCACAAAAGGAACAGAAAGGCTGCAGACACAGGGTTATGTACTGTTTCTATGTCCCTCCCCCAGAGCACCGTGATTGGAAGGGGACTCAGGGAAAGATCAGAGTCACTGGCCAGCTACAGATGTCAGTTCCCCCCCCCCGGTTTCTGTTCCCCTGAAAGACTGCCTTCCGAATCTCTGAATCATTGTCTGAATCGATTTGGAGGCTCTGGAGGATATGATATCATGGTTTTAAGGTAATGGGTGCCTATACATGAGCGCTGAGGCTGCTCTGATGTGCTAGAATTGCAGCGCATCAGAGCAGTCTTGATTAATCGATTAATTGAGCCAGCTGGAGCATGAGCGTTTACCGTGCTCCAACAGCCTCCTGCATTTCATGTATCAGTGCTTAAAAATGTTGGCAGGGACACTTGAACAAAAGCTCGTTGAATGAGCTTTAGCTCAGTTGCCCAGCTACCATTTTTAAGTGTGGGGATGCTGATACAGGAGACACGGGGGCACTTTAGTTAGCATGGCTCTTGGAGCCGCTCTAATTAAAGTGCTGCTCCCCCCATCCATAGAGCATGTGTAAAAGTGCCTGATTTTTCATTTGTATTATTACTTCCAAATCAGGAGAGAAATGCTGTGGAGGTAGGCAATCTCTTTTTTTTTCAGTAATTATAAAATATCTATTAAGTTGACCTGAAGCGACATAGTCATTGCTTTGAACATAATGGCACAGGTAGATTGTATTTAGAGTACCTCTGTGAATACTATTTATTTGGTCTTTGTTGAAGGATGTTTTAGCCATGAGCTGGAATATGTGAGCCTTTCTGTGCAGGAACAATTTCTTCAGCAAATGTAGTGAATAATAACATAGTGGCAGTTTTTAAAAAAGGATTCAACATTGTTATGCAGGAGAACCCTGTAGCTGCCTATGATAGGGTAAAAATACTGTCAGACCTGATTGCTCTTCAGTCTTCCAGGAATAATCTAGCAAACTGTTGCATAGTGCCAACCATGGGCAGATCTAGAATTTTGAAAAGGGAGGGGCAGATGGTGAGGTGCCTCATCACATATAAAAAACAACACACATTTTTCTCCAGTTAAAAATAAATTAGAATCATTATTAATAGGCAAGGGACCTAGGGCTGTATTATTCAGTTTAAGATTGGAATGGGTTAAAAACAATTTGCAGGGCTGTGAAATAGCTGCTCCTGGTAATGAAACTCCTAACAGCAGAATTGCAGAACAAAGGATAGTTTGACTGATGAAATATTAAAACGTTTAAAAAGAAGAGAAGGTCATTAACACTTGTGCACCCTCCCTGGATCTGCACCTGATACCAACCCTTCTATTTTCTTCCTTCAGATTATGGTGTTGTACAATTGCTGTTATTTTTGGGAGACTTTAGGGAGAGTGGATGGAAATGTGCTCCCTGCTAATGACCTCATCCTTCTACTTTCTGTATGTGGACTCTCACTGCTGTCAATGGGGTAGATTGTAACAGATCCAGGAGCAGATGAGAGAATGAATGGGGACTAAGGGAACCATAACATTTTCCCTGATACCCTCCCTCCCCTTTAAGAGGAGTAAGTTGTTTCACTCCTTTTCCTAGAGAAATGTATCCACTTCTGTGCCTCTGAACAACTACTCTAGCCAGTACTGAACCAGTACTCCTCTGATGTCTTCCATCACTCTGCATTCTCCCTGACCACTGTTTCACAGCAGTAATCATCAGGATAATAGCCCCTGCCCTAGCCAGAATCACCATCTGAGAGGAGGGGTTAAGGGAACATAACCCCCTTCTGACTCGACTCTATAGCTAAGTAAGGGCTGGGAACTCTAGGCACTCGGGGACTCCAGAACTGGGCCCTTTGTTTGAACTGTGCAGTCTATACATAAA